TTTATTTCAATTCCTCCAAAGTACAATACAATACTTAACATAAATTTGAAATTAAACTTATAAGTCTTATACAACATATTTTTCCAATGCAAAGTTATTCTTTTTACAAAAATCCTTGAAAGTTTTTCCCCGCATCTCTCTCATCATCCCTAAGCTTTTTCAACCGCATTTGCAACATTATCTGCTCACATATAACATGAGTTATATGATCATAGCACAAACAAATAAGGGTAAGCCAACCATATCATACAATCATTAAACTCACTTATAATATAAATGTTTCAATCATGTATTTCTGCAATTTATAAATACCATTATCCCTATGTCATTAATCCATTTTTTTTTTCTTAACTTCAAAATCCTCTTTCTCATTTTCATAAACCTTACAAGTATACCATGCTTACTCACGAAGCCTTATGGTCAGACCGCTCTCTGCCTGCTTCCTTAAGCCTTACCTGTATACTATGTTTTACTTTCTGAAGCCTTATGGTCAGTCCTCTCTCTGTCTGCTTCTATAAACTTACGAATCATATGTTTATGTCAAAGCCTTATGGTCAGACCACTTTCTGCCTGTTTTCATAAACCTCGGGTGTTACTTTGCTCATATCAAGCTCTCATGGTATAAACCGAACATACTACTCCCAATAGTAAACATTATTTCATAAGTAATGATTTCTTATATCCACTCCAACATTTCATAAAATCAACAATTCATACCCTCTTATCCACCTAACTCAATCATGTTCATTCTTTAATCATAAATTGACAATAACCCGTTTTGGTGTCAATAAATTAAACATATTGTCAGATATCATACTTCATATTATAAACTCATTTTTCCCATAACGAGTATAACTCAACATATTTTCACCAATCAAAGGTCATAGATCAGCCAAAATACATCAACATATCTTAGGAACTACATATTAAAGTTTGGGCTCAATGTAACGATAAATGAAATATATATGAAGTTTTTACCATGATAACTTAAGAATAAAAATAGTGTTCATCATACTTTTCAAAATTTCGAAATTTATTTCTCAACACAGACTTCTAATTACAAATCTGCACGGTCAAATTATAGTAATATATCTTAGGAATCATACATCAAATTTTCAGGTTGATCTAACGGTTCAATAAAACATAATCTATATTTTACCGAGAGGACTCAGTAACACAATAACAAGGGTAATTAATTTACTCAAACATGTAGAACTTATTTCTCCAAGTACACACTCTTAATTAATGATCCGAACGGTTAAAATAAAAAAAATAGGTCTTAGGATTCATATATTAAAATTTTAGCTAAATCCAACGGTAAAAACAATTAAAAGGAATGTTTTACCACAGTAACTCGAAAATAAGAAAAATTATAATCATGAAAACTAAATTTACACAAGTGAGTAGATAACTACCATTATCAAAATTTTAACATGTTCATAACTCATATTCATGATCATAATATGTATAAATATCATATGTAAGAAAGGATTAACTCCCTTACCATCAAAATAATCTTAATATAAAAATATTCAGGGGAAACAAGAAGTTCAATTTGGCAGAGCCGGTTAGACAACATCCCATCCTTTCAGAAAGATGCAATAACAAAAATAAATAAAACAATAAAATTTCTGGGGAAACAAGAAGTTGAATCTGGCAGAGCCGGTTAGACAACTTCTCATCCTTCTAAAAATACAATATAAATAAGAAATAAAGGGTCTGGGAAACAAGAAGTTGAATCTAGCAGAGCCGGTTAGACAACTTCTCGTCCTTCCAAAAATGTAAAGAGATAAGGAACAATAAAAGCTCTGGGGAAACAAGAAGTTGAATCTGGCAGAACCGGTTAGACAACTTTTCGTCCTTCCAACGATACAAAAGAAACAAATAAATGTTCTAAGTAACAATAACGTACAATTAGCATAACATAATCAATATCACGTTTTACAACTATCAAACTTGGTCTCATCACAGAAATATGTTCTCATTCAAAATTCAAGATCATTCAGAAATAAAATACTCCATATTCAAGATTTAGGATTAGACAAAAGCAAAGTATTGTATACTCAAGATTCAAGAGTAGCTTCCCTTACCTCTGTTACAGACTTAATCTCCTCGTTCTCCGAAAACTTCCAGAATGTCCCCTTTGCAACTAGAAATTCTTCCAATTCTCTTCTCTCAAAATTTTTCTAAGTTTTTGGTGTAAATTTTCAGCCTCCCCCCCTTGGCTATTTATAGAAAAAAAAAAATTTACTATTCATTTTTACTATTCATTTTAACTATTCATTTTTCTATTCATTTTACTATTACGAAAATAATTTTTTATTCACAATTTGATGAATTCTGATCTCTTATGACTCAAGGCAACGTGGAATACTTATCCCTTCCACAAATTATCTTTTTTTTACTATTTACTTTTTACTATTCACAATTTACTATTCACTTTTTACTTTTTTTTTTAATCTAGTATCTGAATTACAAATATTTTCAAGGGTCTTACAGATCCCGTTTTTGGAAGCACACAAAGTCGTTGTAAAGGTCAAGTATCAAAGACAATAAGAGAAATGACAATTGATGGAGCATAACAAAACATTATTGTCCTAGTTCAAATATAAAGTTTTGAAAGAATCATGGTCTTCTGAGGTTGTGATATAATTCGGGACGTATGCTTTATCTTGTGTGTACTATAATGTATGATTGAATTTTTATTATAATTATGATAAATTGTTATTCCACTAGTTTACCCTTGCTTTCATGTTGTTTGTTGCGTGTTGTTTTCTCTTTACTATGATTACCTTAATGATGTGAGATTAAGGATACAGTCTTTTTAGCTGTTCTAGTAAGAGGAGAGGTGGAAGCATATGAAAAGTCAGATAATTCTACCGGTGTAGATCTTGTCTTTTATAAGTTTTTTGTGTTATAATGATTCCATTATCATATATGTAATATTTTATTTTAATATTATTCTACTATTAAAATGGGGATGTTACATAACCTAATTTTAAGAAAATAAAAACTAAAAGAAATTAAGGAAAACTTCGAAACATAGAAAAAGGTGCAGGAAAGTTATATAGGAGTTATGAAAATGTGAATAATTCATATTAACAAAATATTATTTTATCTTTAACCATATAACTCTTGTAATCACCATATAAATAAAAACTTATTATGTCCTTTTACAAGTAAAAAGTAATTTTTAGGTTTAATACCTCTTTTGGTCCCTCGAAAGGGGGCAAATGTTCAATTGGGTCCTACCTTTTTTTAGAAGTTCAATGTGGTCCCAAATTTTGTAAAAAGTGTGCAATCAAGTCCTTTTTGGAAACGGCGTTGATTTTTTAACGGAGCAGCTGACAGGGTGGACTGAAGTTAGCTACGTGGCTGTGAGAGGGTAATACGTGGTTTTCCTAATTCGAAAAATCCTAAATTTGAAAATTAGGAACCTAATTAAAATTAGAATTAAGAGGGAAAACTCCCAATCTGAAAGGATTATGAACCCTAAATTGGAAATCCCAATTTCTTTCTACCCTCTTCTTCTTATGTCTGCTTCGTCACGCTCATGTGAGGGAAAGATATAGTTTTCCCTTCTCTTCTTCTCCTTCGGCGCTGCTCTGCAACCATATGGCAGCTTCCTTTCTCTCACGTTGGGACAACTCGCGACAGCTTTGGGGTGGTCCGCGGCGGCGGAGCTTGTGAGCGACACAGCGGCAGAGGCGCGACCCTTGGGGTTTCGATGGTGGTTCGCGCGGTGGGTCTCGAGCGACAGGTTTGCGGAGATCAACGAAACTTCGCCGAGGTTGGCCGCTGGATCTCTGGGTTTTGGTTTTTGTTTTTGGTTCTGGTTTTCTGCAGGTGGAGGGCTGGCCTCGCGGTATGGTTCGACTTCTTCGACCTAGTTCGTCGGCGGCGAAGGACGGAGCTTCTGGTTTATTCCTTCAGCGGCGGTCTTTGGTCTTGGAATGAGGGGAACTCAAGCAAAAAAAAATTCAAGTATACTATGTTTGCTAACAATAGATTCATCTCTGTATGTTTGCGTATGGAATTCGGCTAGCAGATTCTATTCCTTCTAAATAACATGATTCCTGAATGCCGTGATCATTTTGGGTGACAAGAACAAGATGAATGCCACGTATCACCCTCACACAGCCACGTATCACCCTCACACAGCCACGTATCACCCTCACACAGCCACATATTACCCTCTCACAGCCACGTAGCTAACTTCAGTCCACCCTTTCAGCTGCTCCGTTAAAAAATCAACGTCGTTTCCAAAAAGGTCTTGATTGCACACTTTTTACAAAATTTGGGACCACATTGAACTTCTAAAAAAAGGTAGGACCCAATTGAACATTTGCCCCCTTTCGAGGGACCAAAAGAGGTATTAAACCTAATTTTTTTTAATCATCCCAAAAACAGAAACATGTGTTACTTTACTTCTGCCACTTCTTATGAAAGCAATTGAGTTGATAAGCTTAAACAGTTAAATGAAAAGAAACCTAAGGATACTTTTGCCCTAAAGTAGATGAATGACACTAATACTTGCAACAATTGGATTCTTATCTACAATTCGTTATTTTAGATATTTCGTTATTTGGGTGAGGAGTGTTCCATCTGTGATGCGACGAAGGACACAGATAGAATTAGGTTGTACATATCAGTTTTACTAATCATGTAATTCATGAGGGAGCTTGTAACGATAATAACCTATTAAAACAAGGGAGAGAGAACAGTCACAATCTTTGTATCCGTATGCCGACCATATATGTGAATCTACCTGTTAATAAAAATTACGAGAAGATTTTCATAACACTTTATACATGAGCAAGTTTGTTATTAATCGGTTAATTGAAAGTTAAAGATGAATAAATTTCTGATTAGTTGAAGGTAATCAAGAGAAATGATTTACATATAATTTCCTCTAGTTTTTCTGAACAAAATAGTATTATTAGTCAAACAACACTTCAATGAAATTTTTTATTTCATTCAAAACCAACTCACTAGAAAAGTTACAAGCAGTCTGAAAATTATTATTGTCTACTACTTGACAAGCAAGTAGCTAAAACCTAAATAATAAACACACAACAGAAATTTAAACCAAAAGGTGGGTTCGCAAGCTGAGTAACATTGTCTATGGATCAAGACCATGACAACACCTATAATTAACAGAAGTTACTTCCATGGAACGTCCACATTCTATATTAGGGCAAGGTATATGAGCCAATATATCAGAAGGGTAGTTAGAAATCTCACTATGTTCACATTTTCTTGGACTAGTCTTGTCCTTGATGCTCTCATAGTACTCTTTGAAAGCAACATCAAAGCACACTTCTTCATGCAACTTTACATGCCAAAAGCTCAAGTCCTTGACGGTGCGAGACATAGCCTGACCATGACCTAAAAGCTTCACATTGTATCCCTTACTAAGAATGACCCATCCCTTAGGGTCTTGTTTTAGGAAGAGCAACCTCTTTATCTCTGTTGTTGCAAAGTCTTGCACTCCTTGATTTCCACCCTTCATTATTTGTTGCTTCCTACTTGCAAGCAAACTATCAATGGCAATCCAAAAGCGTGGCACAATCTTAGGGTCTTCCCTTCCCAGTTGGTATGAGTCTACTGTGATGTCTATCTGCAAACTTAGTGTCTCAACATCCCTCTTCAATTTCTCTATGGCAGTCGTGAATTCTTGGATCCACACAGTGTCTGAGCCTCCGTATATGAACAGATAACGATCCTCTTCAATCTGATTTTTCAACATTATATTATATATGTATTCAAATTATTAATATTTAACTCATATTCTCACTATAATTAACATCTATGTTCTTTCCTCAAAAGAATCTCGGATGGTAAAATTAAAAAATTCTTCTTTCCATTTTCTCTTCAATTCAAATTTCATTTGTATTCTCCTCCTATGTTTCTAGCTAACTAAATGGTTCTTGCGTCACACTCCTTGTTTAATAGGGCCCTTGTATTTTATTGATTGAAACTCTTACAAAAGTTAATCAATAATTATGAGTATGTTATAGCAGTGTATATTCTTTCTTTGTATTACCTGAAAATCCAAATTGGTTCTGATAAATCATGTTTTAATTTTTTTCTAATGGTATATCATCTTCTATTGTCATATTATTATCGAAAAAATATTTTTTTTTTTATATTTTACTTAATTCATGCTTATCTGAAACCATTTAACATTACTAAGTGAATTTTATAACCTTTTCATGATGAATACAAGTTTTATACTTAGAATAAGTACTTTTTACGCATATAGTTTTGTATGTGTGCATAATATATATTAAATATGAAGGACTATGAGCAATGATATATCCATTTAGTACTTACCAAGTCCCCGATTCTTGGGTTAAGCTTGGTCATTTCAGACCAAAACCAATTCCATTGTTGAGTGAGACGAGTGTGATCGGAGGTTCTAAATGGAAATCCATCAATTCCCCACATGGATATAATTTGTTTTGTGTCAATGTTTTCCACCTTACCCTCAGGACTTATGAGTGGGATCACAGGTTTCCCACTATAGTTGAACACTTCTTTGATTAGCTTGATGCCTATTTCAAAATTGAAATGTTTGACCACATACCATCCAAACTTGGTTCTTTGTAATTTAGTTTCTAATGTTTTCCTTCGATCTTCATTCCATTCATCAACAATGGGAATCCACAAAATCTTGAAATCCTCCTTCCTGTAACCTTCTACTTCTCTTGGTTTCTCTTTCAGTTTCTCGTAAACACTTTTAAGAAGTTGAATCTCCTCATCAATATGTTCAAGCCCAGAAATGAATAACAACACATGCTTCTTCTTAAACTCTTCAATTTTAACCTGCCAAAGTAAAATACACATATTTACAAACCTTAGTTGTGACAAAAGGAGAGAGGTTTAAGTTTAACTCCTATTTACAAAATCAACTTATCATAAGTTGAGGATATACACAAATTAACTTTACATTGACAACACTTTCAAGTTATGGATTTTTTTATTTTTTATTTCTTAAATCAATCCCATTAAAATTTTGACTAATCCCACCTTGCTTCCTTGTAGAACTAAGACACTCATTATGCATGTGAAATAAGATTAATGGAAATTGTAATGCTAATGGTAGTTGATATTACCTGTTCTAAAGTGAGGCCATTAATAACATTATGTCTAGAATCCCTGTTCTCGGTGGAGATGATGAGTGCTCTCAAGACCTTGACAATATCTTTTCCAGTAATAATGATAATATTCTTACGTCTGGAATAGTCTTCTATTCTCCCTGATATTATCACATATATATAATTTTAGCATCTTCTTATATTAATGAATCTCAATTCAGCTTCTTACATTTTAGAAACTGTATTATTAGGAAAAAGAGAGTAAGGTATAAAGCAAGCATAACTAACCTATCTCCGTGCTACACATTTCCAAATGCTCTCTAAAAGTTCTCAGAATGAGGTCAAGCTTGTTCTCAAAGTTTTTCGATAATTCATATTTGTTACCCCTGGATAAAGAAATAGCAATCATTATATTTGACAGAAAAAAGAATTAAATTTGATCAAATATACAAACAAATTCCAATTTGAGAAATTTAATGGTTGACACATTAGTAACATAAAAGCCCTACTTGACTCTTAGAAATCATGAATGTAAGCCACCCTCCATATTATGTATCCTTCTAAGAATTTATATGTATATATCACATATTTATAATATAATATTTGAACTGTCTAAGAACTAATGTATATATGTAGGCTAATTGTATTACCATAAACTATATAAGGTATAGGAATCGTATAATTTTAATTATAGAAACACATATTTTTGTACTTTATTTTCTATTTTTAAAAATTTATATAAAAAAGTGAAATATAAAAATAACACATAAAATCTTCAAAAAAATTATTTTTATTATACTACTACAAAGATTTAAAAACAAAAAAAAAATGTTGGTAACATATTTATAATTGGTGTTGGAAATAGAGATTGTTTTCCCAAAAAGTAAACTGTCCATTATATTTTTAAAGTACTAATTTGAGGTTTCCCTTCTATAAGCAAGTTGTCTCTATGGTAAAAAGAAGGGAAGAATCGTAATTATTACTTTTGACGTAAACACTAAAGAAAAAACTGATAATTGCAAGAGAAAAATGGAATTGGTCTCTTATTTATATTTTACGTTTCATTTTTTAATTTGATTTTGGTCTTTTAAATTTGAATTATTCATCTTTCAAAGTTCTATTAGATCAACATATGCTGCTAACTTCCATTGTAATGTGATCAATTTATCCCCATTGAACAAAATGTAAGAACTAAAATTAGTTTCTATTACTTAGTGATGAATATGTATAAATTGTCTTACTTGTGGTCAGTGGTGAAGTCATCAATTTGACCAGTACAAGTGACGAAGGTGAAGATTGCCCAGTAGACGACAACAGGAATCTCATGCAAAGTCTCTGCCAAGGTTGGCACGTCCTTGATGTCATAGCCAGCACTGGTCAGCCTCTTCCACTCAGTGATGCACTCAATCACTTGCATCACCTTCTTCACCACACTGTTGAAGAAACTCAAGTGCTGAATGTTCTGCTGAATCACGAGAAGCCCATTCAGATCAGCCAGAGATTTCTCAGACTCTTCGTGCTGTCTCGTCAGGGGATGATACAAGAATTTCCCATATTCCAGAGCAAAAGCTGCTTGAACTATCAGTGCCTTCGCATCCCATGAATATGCTTTCAGCTGTTCCAGAATCAGCATCGTTGTGTGATGCGCGTAGTGTTCACCACGAGAAGTGCACACCATCTACGTCTCCAACAATTTAAACATTAAGAGTGTTTTTCCAATTAAATTTTTGTTATAATTTGATTTATGTTCCTTGTACTATTAGTTGTATTGTTTAATCAGCGTACGTGGTCACAACATCACTTAGACGCTCAAGGGAACAGAACATTCCTGTCTGTAGAATGGAATCTATTGAAGAGATTGCTACGTTAAGTGAATTACACGCATCAACCTCAAATAGTTTTTCACAAAAACCTATTAATTATTTGAAACACAAAGTTTCACATTTGATTATAAAATAATTATTGGTTAAATAAACTTTTGTATTAAAATAAGATATGACCATTATTTTAATATTACATATTAATATACATGCAAGGAAATAAACCGAAAATAGAAAATTAACAAGCACCTGACAAGCAATTCGCTTCAGCTTTGCAGTAAGTTGTCGAGACGTTATGGTTTCTTCTCTGAAACGCTCACTGAGTTGGCTAGCCTGCGTCACAAAATCATTGAATGTACTTTATGATGAAAAAAAAAAAGTAATAGCAATCATTCTAAATGCATACTAAATATATACTACCATTTTTTTATTTTCTAGGTTAGATTTTTGTACCAGAAAAAGTTAAGTACATGAGAAGAATGTCTGATCTAAAGGGTGAAAAAGCGCCTTCAAAAATACTTCTAAACTATTCATTAACAAATTCTTTATTGGTAACAAAATTGGATCTTGCATATGTGAATATGAACCTTATCTCATAATCATAACTTACAATAGATATGAACCAAAATATGTAAACATAAATGACGCATAAACCATTCAAAAGAATATTACCTGTTGAATGACGGTGTCTGTGATTTGAATTGAGTGATTGATGACGGTTGAGGCAACGATGTGAAGAGATTTTACATCGCATTTCTCAACACAATGAAAATGGGTTCTGTAGACATTATCCAGAATCTGTTCATCACTGAATTCAAATGGGTTCTGCAGCAAGGTCTTCCCTTGCAGGACATTGCTACTTGAACCTGACTTCTGGGTATTCATCTTCGTGATCCACTCTAGCTATCTACTAGTCAATGTTTCAAAGTAAACGCTGTTTCTCTCGTTTGTGTTGGCTGATTTATAGTCACCGAAAAGCATAGGGCATGACTTTACGATGCTTAGGTGAGGCCCATGTAACAATAAATGATTCCACGAAGCGTACAAGGAACCAAAAGCATGGATATGTGCTGTTATCAGAACAAGAAAGCATATTGGTGTCATTAATTTATGTTCCTGTGTTATCAGCTTTTGAGGAATATTGAAAATGAACTGGTATATCTTTTTGTCATATATTTGTTGATATTTTTGTCATATTAATATTATGACACACTTTTATATTCATTTGACATATACTAATCATAAAACTGTAAACTTTTCTATTGTTTCAAGAAAGAAAAGAGTAAAAAGTAAGATAGTATATATCAAATGAAATTAAAAATTTTAGGTGGGTCAAAAAATCATTACTTTGTATTTCTCTATCCAATTTTTCTTTATTTTTCATAAGAGAAATATTTTCTTTAAAATTATAATTTTTCATAACAAAAATATTTTCTCTAAAATATTAATAAATAAATATAATTGTTCATTATTTTTTTCTTTAATTTATAAAAAAAATTATTCATGTAAAATCTGTTTTTTATATTCTTAATAAAATATCTATTTTTGTGACAATGTATATCTTTTAAAAGTTTAGTTAATAGTTTTATTTTTATATTTATATTTATGATTCATTTTTTAATATATTTTTTTACTCACTTGATTCTTAATATTTTTTAAATTGAGACGGTGTAGTTTATTTTCGTAAATCAATGTTAACGACGTTAAAAGATGGATCACTTGCGAGTCTAAATCTCTTCTTCCTCTCTAATCCTTTTTTCTTTAGTGACAAATCCCACAATTCATTTTTAGGCAATACCTACCACCACTATCACCACCCTGATGTCATTTCCAAGAATCGTATCTCGCTGCCATCAGAAACTTTGTCACTTCATTCATATCCAAGATACATTTCATTGTTCGAGATCATATCTAAGATCCTTTTAGAATTGTCTCTTTTAAATCCAAGAACTCATAATGATAATAATGTGGCAAAACATAAGGGAGAACAAAGGTCCCACATGTGGGATTTTAAGGAAGAACCACGTGGAGAAATTCTAACATGTTGGGGTTAATTGTTACCATTGTGAGGGAGGGTCCCAACTTCTTGAAGTTGGCAAGGAAGGAACAACATTTGGCTCTTTTTTTTATTGCCTCTTCGATTTCATCGGCACCTACAACTTTGATTGACTTGGACAACTTAAGGGGAATGAGAAGGTGGGAGATTGCTTTCATGACACAAAGATATGTTAAAGTAGTTTAGCCCCAATAACCAGTAAAGTTTTGATGATAACAAAACACTATATTAGACGAACGAGTCTATGGTAAAAAGTGAAAACGTAATTAGATGATTAAGAGAGAGCATCTAATATGAAAGTAGTAAGAATGAGAAATTGATGAATGTTGTTTGAAGATCAAAATATATTATGTGTAGTGTTGCTTGCATGTGCTTAATTAATTTATACTCCTACATTACGTGTGTAAACGAAAGTAATAAGTCCGAGGCCAAATCTAAAGCATTAGATGAGTTAAGATGTTAGATGACTATAACAATAAAAATTATTAGGTAAATGCATTAGATGACCGAACTGTTTAGACAACGTAAGTCATAGTGTTAGACAACTAAGGTGTTAAACGAGTCAAGGAAAATCAAGTCATCAGACGACTAAGGCGTTAGACGGCCCAAGGTTAGACGATTAAGATATAACTTAAGTCACTAGAAGACCTAAATATCAAACTACCCTTATTGCTCTAACTTTTATGATGTGCTTTGATGATTTGAAACAAGTGTTTGAACTATGATTATTCATACAAATTAACATATTGATACAAGTGATTGAAATAAAGATTCTATGATATGAATTACAACAAATACTATCATTTTAGAAGAAGAAAGTTTTTGAATCAAATGCTCGAAAGAAATTAATATTGAGAAATATTTGATGAATGAACTTTTTGATTGAATAAAAGATATTAGTGCTCTAATAATTCAAAGGCAGAATCCAGTTTCACAAAGTTTTCTTAACAGGATAATTTGTGAATGTTGAAGAGAGTAGAAGTCAAAATTAAGTCTTAGCTCAATCATAAAAGGAAACAAGATATCTTAAAGAGATAAGCTAATTCAGAATTGAAGTCTTGAAGAATAATTTTGAAAATTCAAACCAAAGAATCAAATCAAAGAATTGATCAAGTCATTCTAAATTAAGAAGATTGCAATGAAGATATGTAATTCAAAGTCTCAACGGCTAACTGAAGCAATATCTATATAATGAAGGCCAACCTATATGAGAAGCAAACGAACAAGAAAAAAAGAAGAAAAGAAATGGCGTGCTGTAAAATTATCATATCAATTGTATCGTGGAAAAGTTGGATTGAGAGCTTGATTGTTGTAATATGTTTTATTGAGTGAAATTGTAACCTATGAGCCTTTTAGTGCACTCCTTCTAAGAGATTGAGAAAGATACATGGATAAGTTAATACTCGGTATAGCTTGGAGAGGTTTATACTTGTGTACTTGGAAAGGTTGAAACTCATATAACCTAGAGAGAGTGATACTCGATACATATCAAAGTTGTTGATCGGTGAATTTTTTTTTAAGAAGGTTGCTTAAGAGATTGGACAAAGCCTCAGGTGGAGGTGAACCAATATAAATATGTTGTGTGCACTCTCTTTGTAATTGTATAGTTGTGTGCATAGTTTTTTAATTTTATTTTACGTTATACCTTCCCCTTTTAGAGTCACATCACACTAACAAGAGAAACGATCAATGGGGTTTGGGAGTAGAGAAGGATGGTATGAAGAGGGAGATTCAGGTTGCCTTGACTATAAGTGTAGTAGAAGGTCAAAATTAGACCAAGACACACCTTGCTTAATCTTCAAAAGGCAGCATTAATGGGAGAAGAAGATGAATGGATAACTAGAAAAATATATCAAATCACTTACGAAATTTTACTGATGAAAAAATAATTCGTTGATAAATTTAAGTTACTAAAAAATTATATGGACAAAATTTAAAATTTTAATTATTGACAAATGCATTATAGATAGAAAAATCTGTCGATAAATCTGTCAGTAATGCATATTTCGTTTAACAATGAAAAAATTCATCGGTAATACATATTTCATTTATCGACGTAGAAATCTATCGGTAAAAAGAACAACAAATTTCCTGTCCAAATCTCGCGTCCAACATTTTTTCTTTGTCTTCATTTTCTTCATAAAGCATGATATGTGTTCCTTTTTATCTCCATTTTATCACGATCACAACACCTATGATCTTCACTTTTAGATCCTAAAACAAAACCATGGCACAACCTACAATACCCGTAACACGTCCAACCACCAACAACATTGTAGATTAAAGCTTTACGAGACGCCGACAACTCTCACGTCAGCACCTAGTCATAGATCATGAGTAGATAGCGCACCATGCACTCACTAGAGAGCTTCCATAGCGCCACCAACACGAATGCAGATCCACATGCTTCACTGTCGGTCGAGTAACACCCACTTGCATCTCCACCACTACCTTTTTGCACACCACAGAACTAGTAGCTCCAACGTTAGCTTGCGCTCTTGAAACAAATTTGTGTCATCGAGCTGGAAATACAAGAATTAGGCAATGAACAGCGATAGAGGTAGGCGAATTTAGTTTTGTTGGAATGAAAAAGCATAAATAAAAAAAATAAAACCCTAAACACAAAGAAGAAAAAATAGAGATGAGATAGAAGATGAATCATATCACAGTATTTACCGATAGATTTTACTGACAAATTTTTCTTTAGTAATTATCGACATATTCTTCTTTAGTAATTATCGACATATTCTACTAAATAAAAAATCTGTCGATAATGACCGACGGAACAAAAATTTCGTCAATAAAATTTAGCAATGAAATTTTATCGGCGATAAAGTATCGGTAATTTTAATTTATTGACAAATTTTTATCGTTTGTAATATAATTTTTTTTCTTGTAATGGGTGGAGGTCATTCGTTAGAGAAAGAAGAAGAAGAAAAAAAAAGAAAAATAGAAAAAGATTGCACATGTCATTAATAATCGAATGTTATTAGGAAATAAGATTAAACTTGACTCTACTTAAAAAAAATATATAGGGATTTAATTTAGTAAAAAAATAGTATTTATAAAATATGTCCATGATTATCTATATTATTAAGAAATATGTTTCTTTCAAATGTATATGATATAAGAAATTATTTTTTAAGAATGTTTCTACACTTGGTATGTGTGAGGAAGATAATATATTAGAAGATAATTTTTCGATCTTAAGTCCATCAAGTGGTACAAGTGCGGTCAATCACCATTCATCTAAAGTATTTTGGATCGTAGAACTTCGTTATAGTTTTGTCTTTAAAAGGCGTATAAAGAGGGTAAAAAGGAGGAAAGAATATTTAAAGTACACTTGATCTTAACTCCTAAGTGATGTGATATTATTGAACGTGGTAGAAACATAAATCCCCGAATCGAGACTTAAGGGGAATAACTGTTCATCCAAGACATTGTTTACTTTATAACATATGGTCCATTACAGTTTTTGTCTTTAAAAGACGACTCAATAAATGGAAGAAGAAACAAATATTTAAAATGCGTTTGAGTTTGACTCCTAAACGACATTTGATTATTAGGGGTAGTAGAAATAGACACCAGTGTGACATGTTTTCTTTGAAAGAGATATATTAAAAATCTAACTTGGCGCATTTTAAGAATATCAAAATTAATTTTAGTTTTAGATACTTTCGCTTTTAATGCTCAAATACCAATATACTAACAAATTTATTTAAAATATAGAAGGAGCTTATTAATAGTTTATTCAATCATAGAACCAAATGAGTTTTAAGTGAAAGAAAGAAAAAAAAGATATTATTGAGTGACTACTTTTTTAAAATATGATCGTGTTATTTACGACAAACAAAGGAATAAGATC